ACCTTGCCATGCACCCCGCCTCACTTCAGCCCTTGCATCTGCACACGCCGCCCCCGCCCTGCCCCCTCGCCGGCCCGCGCACACCACCGGTACCACTTTTCCAGTCCGCGCCCAGCACCAGCACCAGCACCTTTCAACTGGCCCCCTGGTCAAAAAGTTCGAGGACCCCTGAGCTAGAGTCTCTGAACTGATTTCAAGGACAGCCCCACATAAAGTGTATTACAGTAGTCTAAATGTGAGTGTGCATTACCATTGCTAGGTTCTGCCCATCCATAAGTTGATGGAAGGTGCTCCTGGCCACAAATTGCACCTGGAAGTCCAGGGGCAATTCTGGGCCCAGGAGCGCCCCCGAACTCTGCATGCTGTCCTTTAGGAGTGCGACCCTATCCAGGACAAGGTGGATCTCCTCCTCCTGGACTAGGGTTCTACCTATCAATAGTACCTCCATCTTGTCTGGATTAAGTCTCAATTTGTTAGCCCTCATCCAGTCCATCGGCCAGATCAGACACTGGTTCAGGACAGTCACTGCTACACATGAATCCAATGTAAATGAGATGTAGAGCTGAGTCTTATTGGCATACTTCCTTTAGTATATCTGAATTTAAACTAAGCTACTTAACAGACTTTGCAAAGGCTTGCAAATGATTTGGAGACAGTAGCTCATCTGTGCTCCAACTTGCCTGCATCAATCCTTTTCTTCTCTGCCTGCCTACAACTATCAGCTTTTCCATCAGCCATTCCTTGCTTCATACATAGCATTGCATTTCCCTTTTCAGTTCAGATGTATACTGCAGAATTCTGCCTGCTGTGCATATGATTTTCTCTGGCTCCATTCTCCTTTAAAAGGCCAATGAGTTTTGTGCACAGAGCTGGCACTGCCTAGATTGTAGTTTTCCTGGAAATAAATCACTTTGCTATGTTGGCTACATCCCTCACTCTCCTTCTGGAAAAGGCGGAAAGCTGTTGGATAGAAGTTTTATTGTACTGTATAGGTTTTGTGTTTTTAAAAATAATGTATTATTTTGTGTGCTGCCGCAGAGTCTGATAGGATGAATGGAAGATAGAAGTCAGTGAACACAGTGCTGAAATAGGGCTGTGCCAGAGTTTTGGACTGGAAAATACAACATGGGGCCATTAATTTTGCTACTCACACTGTTAAAAAGCAGCTACATTCTCTTTGGATGGGTTGACAGTACAAGTAGGAGGGCCATATCTTATTTTAAAAGCATGTGTTTTGCATACTGGAAGTTCCTAGAGCTAGAAAATAATCCTTTCTGAAAGCCTGGAGAAACTCTGAAAGCTGGAGTCAACAGTACTGAGCTAGATGAACTCAATGATCTAACTTGCTATAAGGCAAGTAAGCAACCTGTAGGGCAGGTAAGGTTATGTCTTCCTTCTTTGTGGTCTCTATGCAGCAGACATGTGGGCAGCTGAGAGGCTGACTTACCAAAAGTGGGTTGGTGCCATTAATATAGAATGGACAGTTTGCCCAGAAGAGCAGTCTGCTCTGGCATGCTTAAAGTGGAGAATTTCACCTGAGTCTCCTCAGTCTTTGTCTAACACTCTTAACCACCACAGACCACACCACAATAGTTCAGTGGCAGTCTAATTTTGTGTGTAAGAATCTGTCTGCCTCACCTATGGTTTTAAAAGATGGCCATTCCTACCTTATGTTGATGGAAAGCAGACTAGATAATATAGTTTGGGACATATCTTGAAGGCAAAGGATGCAAGTATCTGTAGCCAAGAAGTTGCTAGTTTAGTGCCTGGATGGAAAATGACCCAGAAACAACAATTAAAGAAGGACTACTGAAATGTCTGGGGCTTCATACTCAAACTTGGAAGGGGAAACATAGCAGAATGAAGCCTGACTAATATTCAGGCACAATTAGGGTTATATACAATAAGGGAATGAACTGGAGTGGAGAAAAAATGATGCTGTTGGGATGAAAGCAGAGAGGCTTTTTAAAACAAGTGGAAGGAATGCACCTTTGTCAATTACTGGAAAATCTGGCTATAAATAGTGTTCCATAGAAAAAAGTCTGGCAGGATGACTTAAGGACTGTTGATAAACAGAGAAATACTGAGCTGGCGTGAGTTATGCTTCTGATAGCCAGGCTATGGATGTCAAATGGCTAACTGAAGAATAACGTAACTAAAATAGTATTACACTTGTGTTGATTAGGTGCTTAATGAAACCACCAGACTTAACTATAATGAAGTAACATTAACAGATTTAAAGAAAATGGAACTGCTATCAACTGTACTCAAGGTAAATATCTGACCTGTGCTAAAAAGATTCTAAAGTAAATGCTGTCAAGAGGAGAGGAAGAGTATTGGCATATGGATAAGGTGAAAATGACAATCTGGAGTGGGCATATGATATGACTGATGGTAGGCTACTAATGTGAGCATTTTTCTGGTGTTGTGCAGGCTTGTGGGACTGCTCACTTTGATTTTAGTGACTGGAATCCCAAGTTCCAACAATGTGGTTTCTGCTGCAAAAGACATATACTTAAAATGACAGAATTCTGAGCTAGGAATACATTTTGACTACCAGAGTTGAAGAGCACTCACAGTCCTTCTGCATGCAAATCTACTTCCCAAGCTTTTCTTATTTTGGCAGTATAATTTATGGTGCAAGTCACCAGAGATTTACTTGTAGATTGTGATCTAGTGTCTATCCATCCATAGCATTGTGTTTATGGAAGTGGGACCATGGTTCAGATCAGAAAGCCATGATCACTCAGCTTCAGCTCTGCATGTGCAATATTATATGGGGCTAATAATAATGACCTATTTTGTAGGGCAATTGCAAGGATTACTGAAATGCATTTAATATGCTTCTGCACAGAAAGATCTCTTAGAACGAGTGAGAAAGAAAGTGCCTAAGAAGCTTTTCCCCCAAGTGTCCAGCTGCTGTGTAGCTGGCCTTTGAACTGATTATTTGGATAATTAGTTATCTGAATATAATAAGTGCTATAATATATATATTATAATGTTATCATATACTATTATATATAACTACTTTAATAATGATTTGAATATAATCAGCTTGATAGAAGTCTGGTTTAGGAAAGGCTAGAAAGCAGATAATGCTAATAAAGAGGAATATCAGAAGAGTGGAAGTAACTATATACAGGAAAGGTTTAGGGAAAAATTTATTCATTTTATTTAAAACATTTTTACCCCGTCCTTTGTACAAGCCTCAGGATGGCTTACCAAAAAAAAAAAAAAAAAAGCCTGCTATGCTTGCTTGTTTCTTTTGACTTAGTGATTACTTTCAGAAGTTAAAAAATGATGGTATAGGCACTTACTACTATTATTAGATTTATATCCCAGTTTTTTCAAATAACAAACTCAAAGTGGCTTATATGATTTGTCTCCTGCTGCTCTCAATCTTATCCCCAGAACAGTCCTGTGAGGTAGGCTGGGCTAAGAATCTTGGACTGGCCCAAAGTCATCCAGTTGGCTCTACATCCAAGTGGGGACTGGAACCCAGATTGTCAGTGTCACGGGCCTGCACTCTTAAGCACTGCAGCACAGTGCTCAAGAAACAAATGGCATTTGCCTCCAGAAACAAATGTCAAGTATGTTGAATTGCTCCTGTATATTTCCTGTATTTGCCTTCTGTATGTTTCCTGTGTTGTGCTGCTGTTTACACGCAAGGCAGTCTTGACCATTCTGTTCCAGGCTACAAACAACTGCTCCAGGGCTGGATTGTGGTTTTGGCCTTTGTTGTTGTCTTGCAAGTGTGGGTGACAGTGCAGAGATTTCCAGTCTTCTTCTGCTTTAAGTGGAGAAATCTATCTGTCTTCTGAGTCGAGGAGCATAGTTCTCCTGCCTGGTGGTCAGCTTGCTCCAGGGTCTCATGTCTGAAGCTACAGCCTTCTAATGAGGAAGCCCTACCTTTTAATCTTGGAAATTCATCTGTGGGAGACAAAAACCACACTCTGCGTATGTTCAGAAGCACTTGTTATTTTTATGTTCTGGGGTGACCCAGGTATGAAAAAAGAGGTCCTTGGGCTATACTGTGCTGAGCTCCAACCCAGAGGGAACCCTGCTTATGGAGGAACTGGTGAGAAAGGTGAAGCATGGGGCTGGGTATGTCTTTATGTATTTATTTTCAGCCAGGAGAGAGAAATTCCCTGGGCTCTCGGCCGTCCGGAGAAGGGGGTCGCTGTTGCCTCGAGGATCCCATCGCCTCTCTCCGCCTTTTGTTCCCCGACCGCGCGCGTCACCGGCTTAGCGGCTGGGCGGAGATAGGAGGGCGGGCGGCGGAGCGGTGGTTCCTTCGAGAGACGGCGGCGGAGGAAGCATCATCGCGGCGTGGCAGCGGCAACAGCTTAACGGCCAACCCAATCCGGTTTCGCCGCGGACCAGAGCGAGCCTCATTCAGGCGCGAAACTTGCAGCGAGGCGCGCCGCGCAGCGTGGAAGGAAGGAAGAGGAAGGAAGGAAAGGCTGGTCTTCCCGGGTGCGAGCATGAGCGACTCCAGCCCCAGGCGGCCTCTGGGGGACTAGTCAGGGACCCGCAGCTCGCCGCGGGGGATGGCGGCGCCGGCCGAGGCGGAGTCCAGCCAGCCCCTCGCCTCGGCCCCCGCGCCCCCTCCGCCGCCGCCGCTCCAGCCCGAGAAGAAGAAGCTGCAGCGAGCGCCGTCCCCGGCCAGACCCAAGGATGTGCCCGGCTGGTCGCTGGCCAAGAGCCGGCGCGGCAGCCACCCCGGCGCGCCCGCCTCGTTCTCCGGGAAGCCCGGCGGCGTGGGCGCGCACTCCCGGCGGCCCGGGGCCCTCAAGGATGGCCGCTGCGACAAGAAGGGCAAGGCCGTGCCGCCCATGGGGGTGCGGAGCGCGGGCAAAGGCTCTGGAGGCAGAGCCGGGGCCAGAATGAAGGGGCGGAGCCGCCTGGCCGGGGTCGCCGGCGAGGGCCCGGCCGTGGCGGTAGGCGGCTCCGGGAAGGGGCCCGGGCCCGCGCGGCCGCCGCCGCCGCCGCCCGCCCTGAGCTTGACGGACAGCAGCTCGGAGGTGTCGGACTGCAGCGCCTCGGAGGAGGCCAAGCTGCTCTCGCTGCTGGAGCTGGGCGGGCTGAGCGGAGGCGGCAGCGACTCGGAGTCCCCGGCCAGCAGCAGCGCCCCTGCCCAGCCCGCCAGCGCCTCCGCGGACGGCGTGTCCCCGCTGCCGGAGGACCCGTCGACGGCCGCCTCGCTGGCCAGCAGCCGCCTGCCGCTCAGCACCTCTCTGGCCTTCTCCGACCTCACCGAGGAGCTGCTGGACGCCGGCGTCGCCAGGGAGCTGGAGGAGCTGCGCTCCGAGAACGACTATCTCAAGGTGAGAGGGGCCCGCCTTGCCGCCGAGGGGCCGGGTGGGCGTATGTCAGGGCGGCGGCGGCGGCAGCAGGAGCAGGAGCAGGAGCAGGAGCAGGAGCATCGCTGTCTGCGGGGCTGCCTAAGAACGAGCGGAACGCGGGCGCTGCGCTCCCGCTGAACACGCGCCCAGTCTGTAGGAAGCACCGGGCGACAGCCTTCCTCTCAGTTGCAGTGGGATCCTTCGGGGAACAAACTGAGCAAGCCCACCTCCCCGCAGACCTAGGAGCGCAGATAGGATCAGCCTGCTGCAGAACAGACCCCCCCCCCCGCATGTACTTCATGTGAAAAAGTGAGGATCTCTCTTCTCTACATAAATTGTTTGAAACAGCCCTTCACCACTCAAGCGAAGGCGCAGTTCACAATGAATTTACTATTACATTCATATCCTACCCCCTTTTCCTCCAAGGAGTCCATGGTGGCTTTAAATTTGATACTGTCAACGATCCTCTGAGGTAGGTGAGGCTGAGTCTGTGAGGGGCACCAGAGAGCCTCATGGCTGAGTGGGCATTAGAACCCAGATCTTCTGAGTTCCATTGTAACACTCCAGTTTCTACCCCACACTGACTTTTTAGGTGAATGTGTTGGTCTTCTCAATATAAGACATTGGTCTTTTGCCCAGGATGTTTGGTTGTTTGAAGCTGAGCACCAAATGCCACCCACCAAGTCCAGTGCAAAAGAAGCATTTGAGAAAGCTTCCTTGCCCTTTGTGGACATCAGCACCTTCCTAGAATTATACAATTATAGAATAATAGAGTTGGAAGGGGCTATGAAGACCATTGGGTCCAACCCCTTGCTGTTGCAGGACACCAAGTTACACCATCCCAGTCAGATGGCTGTCCAGTTTCTTTTTGTTTGTTTATTTAAAGTTTTTATATGCCGTCCCAATACTAAAAGTCTGGATGGCTTACAAAAAACACAACTATATACAGCGACCAACACACAACACACTGCATCCAATAATATGATAAAAACAAGGATGAAACCAATTAATTGTTAAAATATTTGGAAAATAAAATAAAATGTTGCTAGTGTGAGAGAACCCACCACCACTCTAGTCAGTTGGTTCCACTGTCGTGTTGCTCTGACAGTGAGGAAGCTTTTCCTGATATCTAGCCTGGAGCTGGGTTGTTGCAGTTTGAATTGATTATTCTGTGTCCTACACTTTGGTATTGGTGAGAAGAGATCTTGAGCTTCCTCTTTGTGTCAGCCTTTGGGGTACTTATACTTCAAAGGTTGTCACAAGTATAAGTACCTATACTGAGGTACTTACACTTGATGCCTGTGTCCATTCCTTAAGTTCCCTAAATCCTGCTGCCTAAAATGGCCCATTTCACCTTGCTTCTTGGGTTTCTTGGAGGAAAGGTGGGATAGAAATGTAACAATAAGAAACACATACCCTTAGTATGAAAGAATACAGGATGTTGGTTATGTGGAACAGATACCTCACATCTTCAAAGGTGCCTGCCAGCATTGTAAAGCTCCTTGGCAATTCTTTGCTGCACAGGGCACACATTTTTCTTTAGACAAGATTTCCTTCCCAACTCAGCATGGATTCCTTGGAACAGATGCTCCATAGCACTGATTACTTCTCTCTCCTAAAACTAAGAGGAAATATGGAACTGATACCGTGCATCACAGAGATCCAAATATCTCATAGACCTCTATCTCCAGTTTTTTAGAAAGCCCTGAAGGAACCAGTGCCTTACATTCCCAAAGGAGGTATCTTATAGGATCATGGAGCCCCATGGAACAAATATCCCTCAGTCCCATCAGACAGATATGTCCCATTCTTAGGGAAGGTATCTTCTTTCATGAAATTGGAATGAATTCCTCACATCCCTACATAGTAAACATGAACAGCTACCAGAATAAAATTCTTAGAGTCATGTTAAAGGTGCCCAGGATTTTTTCCATGCAATAAACAGTTCAGCACCCGCTGGCACTAAATCTTATGCTGATGTTTGAAGGGCAGCTCTTTGGCTCTATTAAGCACATACTTCTAGGTACATTACAAAACTACTTGGTGTTGGTTACAGGTAATTTTATCACAATGGTAACCTATTTTCCTGTAGTGATTCTATGCTCATTATATGATGGAGCTCATGAGTTCCCAAGCATTGTTGGCTGCTTTCTAGGAGTACCTGGAACTGGCATGGAAAATCTAGATAGATTATAGGGAATTTGCAGTTATGATAACTGAGGCCATGAAACTGTGGAGATGTAGGGCAGATGTGTCATTTATTGTGTGGACCATAGGAAAAAAGACATTTTAAAGATCCCAAATCTGTGCTTGCCAAGTTAGAAGGGTGTCATATCATTCACATGTATACCCTGTGGCATCTCGCCACACCTTCCTGGAAGCTGGACTTCTGATTTCAGATGTAAGCTGGATAAAAACATGATGAGAACTGGCCAGGGAATATAGTCATTTGTGGGGAGAGGAATGCCTGACCTCTGGGGAAGCTGGAGTGCAGTGGTATTTGCAGGAAAGAATTGGTGGGTGATTCCCCTCTTTGCACTTGGTGATTCTACAAATCCCCCCCACAAGCATTATGGGTGGATTGTGGTTGAGAAGCCCATATTTTTACCAAAATATGTAGTTCTCTTCTGATAGCTTCATTTGATGGAATCCCCTAGTTCTATATAATATTTTGTTCGTTTTGAATTTTCTGTCTGATAAGCGGAAGATACAATGTATAGCATCACTGAAACTCCTTGATTTCAAGAATTTGCCATTTTGGAAGGAACTGAATTTTTGCAGGGGTTGTTATTATCTCAGAAGTTGCAGGCACAGCCTTGGTCATGTTCTATATGCCCCCATCCATTAAGGTTTAGTTGAGCTTTGACTTTGGGAACCCATCCACATGGATATTGTAAAAGTCTTTTGACAGTGTGTTTTTGAACTCTTTCATACATCCAGGTATTGTTCTGGAACTGGGGCACTCTTTTTAACATACCTGATTTCAGCATAGGACAATCAGTTATATATTGGCAGGTGGAAGTCATGTACCTGCTTTTTCAGTGTGTTCGCCATTCTTTTGATCTGGCTAAGTTAAAAGGGAAGTTATTCCTGTGACATTCTCCCTGAGTGGCTTGGAAAAGCCATTAGAATTTGTTTGAGTAATATAAAAATATTGCCTGACAGGTAGCCCTGTGGTTTTTGGCATATGCGGGAGGAGGAGTGGGGGAGTTTGAGCTGTTGCCAGCCTCAGTTCCTGCCTTGATTCTCTTGCTAGTATTACTGAGCTGTGATGGTTTTATTTTTCAGGATGATGTTGGCATGGCAACAGTAGTAGATACTTATTGAATGGCTGCATACAATAACCAGCTTAGATAGTAGATTTGATTCTTAGTTGAAACAGCAGTTTTAGTGCCCCTGAGTGGATTTTTGTATGAAACGACAGTGAAAACAAAATCTGTTTTGGGGCATGTACTCAGAGGCATCTTGTTCTTTCATTCTGCTGCCCCCCCCCATAATATGTTGCATATGACTGGTTGGTGATCCTTCAGGTTTTAGAAAAAACTCAAGTATATTCCAGAAGCTTGATATCTGTCTGCCCGTGGACTAATCTGCCCTGGTATAAAACCATCTGGGTGGGTGGGGGGAATTAGTTATATGGATGACGGTTGTGTAACACTTATTCACCCTGGTCTTATTCCTGTTTCACAAGCCATTTGCCCCTACTGGATCCATTGGTGGAATTTTGTCTTTGTTTGGTATTCATCTGTCTTTTGGCATTCTGTGTCTGAGAAAGTCACCCACTGCAAGATCCTCTGGTAGAAGCTCTCAAGTGCCCTCTTGATGACCCAGCACTCCCTTTTAGGATATTGTGCTGGTTATTGTTGGCTCCCATTTGTCCTTAGTCTTTATGCTGGGTATGCAGTAGTAATTCTAAAGAGTGTTTTTGGATAACTGTTGGTTCCTACTTTGCCTATAGACATTCCATAATGTTAGACCAGTACTGGGGCTTTTAGGATCTAGGTTTACTTCTTATGGGGCAGAACAGGTTGTTTTGATCATTTGATGTTGACCCCCTCCTCACTTCACATTTCTTACTATTTATTATCCTCCTCTTGTTGCAAGAATTTCAATGCCTGAAGAGATGTGGGTTGTGAGGAAAGCTAGGTAGCTACATTGTATAATATTTTTCAAGGGGCCAAATCCAGACTTTTGACCTGCTCCCCTGCAGAAACAAAATTATAAGCTCACATATGCTCTTGCTATGCCTTTAGGCCATAACTGTCTCCTTTCCTCTCCCTCTCTTATGTTGTTGTTCTGTTGTTGTTTTTTTTAATAATGTTCACACTAGGATTACAGGTGTATGATTTGAATCCATTGCACTCACATGGTTTATGTTGGTGCAAGTCATTCTGTTTTTAGAAGCTGGTGCACTTTTAGACTAAAGGCTGGGACTGCTTATATAGAGTCTATTCTTGCAGAACCAAATAAAGTAGTTGATTATTTCCTGCCCCCAATCCCCCCATTAACTAAAGGAAAATTGGCAGGAAGTCAAGACTTCTTGTAGACTGGCTTTTCTCAGTATTCTGATAGAAAACGGCTGTAGAGATTCAGAATTGCCATGGTAATGTAACAATATTTCACACTGACTAGAAATATACAGGACACAGGTTTAAAACTATGAGCATGATCCAGCCACAGTTAGAAGTGTTTAACTGTGCAGCCCTTTATGTGCTAGTCAGAAATAAATTCAGAGAGTTCAGTGGGACTTGCTTCTTTCTGTTTAGCATTGTAGCCTAATAGTGTGATTCATTGAGTTCAATAGGGCTTAATCTCATGTAAATGTATATAAGATTCAGTGGAAGTCAGAGAGAGTTAAATATGTTCTTAATTTCCTCTAAGATTTTAAAGAGTTATTTACTCTCATATGAGGGTTGCTTTATATTTGAGACCTGCTAATTTTACATCTTTGGTGTTACTCTGTTATTGGAAGAGCCTACTTA